CACAAAAGCAAGTAAGTCACGGTGTTTTAGAAGTGTATAACTTTGGTGGTAAAGCTCAAAATAGAATGGTAAATAAACAAGATACCTGTACTTAACTGAAGCTTTGTGTTCAAATAGTCTCGAATTTTCATTTTCATTACTTTTGTTTCTTTTTTATAGATTGCTATTTTTTGTCGCCTATTTTGTGAGACGATTGTTGTTTCTTATGTTTTCTTCAGAAATTTTTCGCGGGAAATTAGCACACAGGCGTTAAAAGTTGATCCCCTCGCGCGTTCCTTATGTCTGAATGCTAGGTTCCCTGGTTCAGACGCTAGTTGAGAACTCTTTTCATGACTTGTTTCTTAGGTCTGTGGAATATATTTTGAGCCTGATGGTACATTCATCGAATTAATGATTTGAGATTATTTCTGTCAATGAAATAAGGAGCTCTCAAGTGAAGTCTTGTTAGTTAATTCGGCTGTATAAGAATCAAATACTAGACATATTACAATTATAGAAGCATGGATGTAGCGATTTTAAATTGATGAGCGAAGTAGACAAAGTAACTGCGAAGAATGACTCATATCTTCACGATGAAAAAAAATTAGTTGTACATTCATAGCAATAATAAATTTTTTAACTAAAATTAGTGGTATGTATGACGAACTTTTAACTTATCAAGCAAACCAGTTATTGTAGCCCGAAACTTAATTTGAATTAAAAGTGGATATCTTCACTATAGAAATTTGTGAGATGTTTTATTTCCCTGTGGCATCTTTGGGTATGGCATGACGAGCTTTGCGCCAGAAAAAAATCTTTTGTAAATGAGCTGGCTGCACACTCAATGTGCAGCCCCTGGCCAGCTCATTTGCAAAAGTAATTCAAGCCGCGGTTTAACACCCCTCAGTAGCACGAGGTGTTCGCAGAACACTCCAGAAAATTCGATAATAGCCACAAAAAATGTAATTAAAGTTCACCTCGACTGAACTGAAAAAACCGCAACTTCCGATAATTACATTTTTATTCATTTTCCAGATACAACACTAATTTGGTTGCACATTGTCCAGATGACACAGTCCACGGAAATTTCGTTACACGCCCTTACGGACCTAATTCGAAATAGCCTAAAGGGTGTAAATATATAAGTCGAATTTACTTCAAATCGCGAAATCTGGGGGGAGTGGGGGTTGGGGTGTATTTGTATGTGAACGAATCTGAAAGGATCATTTTTGAAATTGCTGTCGTAAAATTTCAAGAGAAGTACTATCCTGTCTTGAAAAGACGGCTGTTTTCATCGTGGTGCTGTGGTTGCTCGTCGTGGTTATTCTTAAATGAACGTTTGATCGTTTGTGTCACGATGTAGAGTAACTATCAATTTTGGGAGTCAACACAAAAGCAATTGTCTTTGAACTAAAATACAGTCAAACCTAAACAAACACCAAGCAGCTTTCTTACGAGGCGGTTCCTCTGTTAATTTGGCCTCTTTTTTAAAGTCATTGCTACTAAACGGATGCAGATAGCGGTACAGCTTATTTTGTTGTAATTCACCTCTTTCAAACTTAACGGCCAGTTTTGATAAATTGCAATTCAGGTAAGTATCGCGAGGCTGATTTAAAGCCTAAAATAGAATCTAAAGAAATTTGAACCCGTCTTTTTTCTTGTTTTTGAAATTGCGTTATTGATAATGAGTGCTAAGTTACAGGTATGTAAAAACTGTATGCTCCTGGAAAAATTACGGTGTTTTGGAGAGAACCTCAGCTGCACTCGCGGGTGCCATTCGTTTTCCCGCGAGTTTTGGATTAATCCCATCACGCATTGCGCTAAACCAGGTGCGCCTGACTATTAATTGACGAGGAGTTGTAAAATGTCTGTTGAAATGTCGTGGACGATGCTTAGTTTGAAAAATCACTGTTATTGGCGGCGCCTTTGCGGCGCTTTTCTTGCTAGTTATCAACATCTGTCTACAATTGTCTCGCAAGAAACGTTTTTCACTCGTGTAAAGCCCATATCTAAGGCGTATTGTGTGCAGTTTGACTATGCTATAAACGAATGCATTGTGGTTTCCACGAGAGATAGAACTTCGAAGGAAGAATGTGAGCTCAGTTGTTTACCGATGACAGCGTTCGATGGGTCATTTATTCAAGAACTGCGTACAAAAGGTGTATCCGGTCGGTTCTAGAGCTATAAACTGAACATTTGTTTTGCTAGCTCACGTAAACGTCCAGCCCTCCTTTAAATGAATATTCAGACTTGTTTTGCCGCTCAGCGAGAAAAACTTTACTGGATTTAAGCGTGATTATCCTCCTCAGAAAAGCGACAAACTTCAGCGGCCAAACGTCCTCGATGTTAAATGGTTGATTAGGCGTCGTATTCACCTTCATTTACAAATCTAACTCTTGACGTCCAGGTTGTTTTTATGGTGAGTAGTCTATACTGTAAATTAGCTTAGCCTTAAAAATAATTTTTTAGGAATAATTTGCCTATGATAGCTTTTTGCTTTGATAACTAAAATGTAAAACGGGATACTTTCTAAACCACGGTGTACTTAATTTTGTTCAAGGATCTATTAAAGGGGTTGTGTGTCTCCTTTTTATTTTCATGTAATTTTCTAATTATTTTTTCACTTTTTTATGTTAGCGTGACATTTACGGTAGGCTTTTTCATTTTTCAATTCAGATTAAGGGTGTTGAAGTAGATCAGTGCCATCAATTTGATTTGAAGTAGGTTTCTATCCAACTTTTAGCAAATGTCTTTGACAAATGAACATAAAACAATAGTTGGGACAAGCAGACCATACAGCAATGCTTTATGAATCCCAGTTTAAGAAGTAAGTAGGTATCATATTCTGTCAAAATCCCTGTAGATATGACAATTACATTGTTCCCAATTGAAATGGTAAACAATAAGTTCTCTTCTAGTGATCTTAGTTATAGTTAATCACAGTTTTTCTTTCATGTTGGGTTAAGAGTATCAGTTTTAAGAATGATTGTTGTTCCTTTTATGGCAAAACTTAACAAAAACAAAAGACAGGAGACTACCAAGAGATGATTTTCCCTGGTGGTGTTAAAGCCACCCTCAGATTGTTCGAGTTTATGTCTTCCTAACATTTGTCACTTTATCCAATCATCAAGCTATTTTGAATGAATTTGGAGAATGCAAGTGGTCTGTTGTCATAGATAAATCAATTGATAGATGCAATTAAAACATAAAGGATACAGAAAGAGAGACGTTTCCAAGTCACTGATTTATAAGACATTGAGGGAGTAATCATTTTAAGCTTTGTTTATTTGTTGACTTGTTTAGATTCTTTGAATTTAAAAGGACGATGAAATTATACTGTAGGTGTTATCAGCTTTATCTTTAGATTACCCATTATTATGTGGGGTCTTTAATCTTTTGTTTTATCTTTTTTCTGTTAGTTAAGCTGACATTGCATTTGAAGATTCTAGGCGAAATCTTTCATTGAACCACAACAAAACAAGCATCACACAAAAGATTTGATCATGACATCTGTCAGTGATTCTACAACTCGCAGATCTAAGAAGAAACTACCAAACATCCCTCGAGAGGAATTAGCACTGCATGGAAGTGGAGGATCATTTGAATTTGGTGGTAAAGCTCATGATTTACCACCTGAAGTGCAGGCACAGTTTATCAGGCATGTGCACAAAAGATCTCGTTCATTGACAGGGCTGAATACAATTGAGTTTGAAAAAAAGTTGCAGGCTGAAGCTGAGAAGGAAAATGTGGAACCAAAACCTTTACTTGAGCAAAGTTTAACAGCACCAAAACAGGAGCAGTTGACTGGAAAGAAAGATGAAAGTACAGCAGTTGCACATTCTTTGCCGTCAACTCCAGGTATGATTGTGAATTGATGAGGTATTTTTTTCTGTTTCATTGGTAGCTAGAAATGCTACTTTTTAATTATCTTTAAAGAATGACCTTTGAACTGACTAAGTTGGAAGTTACTGTGAGTATTGTTACTTCCCTTGGGTGTGATTCTAGTCAAGGCTAAGCTCTAAGAAAAATTGAAGGGAGCCCAGTGCTCTGAAACTGTGAAATCCAGGGTGTCCAGCATATCCTTTTCATGGAGAAACTAAGATTCCTGAGTCACCTAAGAGCAAAAGTAAGGCACTAGGGGTGACCGGGCGTTGCTAGACTCTTCTACTCCATCAAAGGTTGCCCTTAAAATTTCATCAGGCCTACCTGACAGTTTTCTGTTGCCTGTCAATACTCCAGGGTGGAGGGAGACACTATGACGATAAAGAGTCTCACCCATGAACAGAACACATGACCTTGTCAGGTTTAAACCCTTAACACCCTAACATCAGTATGTATATTCTCCATACTGATCTCCATACATTTCCTAGTGTGCTTACAAGGAGATTTTGTTAAACAATCAAGAGCTTCTTTAGTCAGTGATCATTTCAGTTATTATAATTGTGACTTTAATGTTTGATTCAGGGATGATATTGTAAGGAGAAATTAGATGCTAGTCACTCTTGGAGTCAAAGGGTTAAACATGCACCTCTCAATGCTCATTTTATCACTTTAACTCATAGGCTACTTCCCCTTACAAAGATGTACATGTAGATTGAGACTACTAAAAGTGACCACAGGGACTGATAAATATTTCCACCCCTGTAATGTTAAAACACAGAGTTTGTGTGTTTAAGTTTGAAAGGGGTATTGATGAGGTAGTTGTAAACATAAGCTGTTTATCTACATGAAAGTCTTTTTAGAGAGCTTCCATTTGCTTTTGAATAAACAGTTTGCATTTATTCCTTAATCTTTTTCAGTTTTTAATCGTAAATCAAGTGCAAGTTTAGTGAGATCAGCTGATGACAGAGGGGAACTTGTGAAAGAGCTTAGATGGCACTACAAACAGTATGTGAAGACAGCAAGACGGAACAAAGAGAAGCTTGCCAATGTAAGTATGGTTTCAAAAAAGCTGGAAGAGAATAAGATTTCCTATCATAAATTAAAATAAAGTTGTGTTGTTTTCAGATTTGTCCCTAGGAAATGTAACAGGAGTTTGATCTGAACTAAGAAGGTGGCTGAATTGAATTACACTTAAGGTTCAGAAAAATTTGTGAGGGACTCAAAGATCTATGGTTATACTTTCTGTTAAAATAGAATTTCTAGTAGAAGGAATCAACCAAGTTGACAAACTTTTTCATGTATGGCATTTCCTCTGCTGGGTGTTTGTGGATGTTTCCTGCAACTTTGATTGAAGATTACTTTGTGAATTAGTCTAAAAAACTCCACTGGTATGAACAAATAGAAAAATAAGCAACTTTTTGTTTTGCAATCATGGTAGGTTCTGCTTGTAGAGGAAGCTGTAAGACAAGTTTTGCTTTTAATTATTAAAATTGTATTTCATTAGATCACAAGCATTTAAGCAGTTTTTTTTTATATTATGCTAAGGCAGCCAACATTGGGGATGATAACAACAGTAGCCTGAGTCTAGAAGGGATATCTTTAAGTGAGGTAATACTTTTTTTTAACAGAACTGCTTAATTAATGAAGTTGGTAGATGTGATCAGTGTAAGCTAGCAACACATTAGATAACAGTTTTGGAGGATTTGATAACCAGCAGAAATTGAGACCAGATTTCCTTGGTGGTTAATGTGGACTCACTTAGTGATTTATTAAGCTTCTCAAGGCAATTTATAATGTCAAGTTTCTTGCCTTTGTGATAAGCCATATGATAGAATCATCAGCTGTGTTTGGTAAGCAGCTGGCCCAAACCTTATCAAATTGGCCAAAAAAAGTTGACTTTAATTGGAAAAGGACCTACCTGTATAGTAATCTTAGGGGTTTTAAACAATGAATAAACTATATCATTTTGATTACAAGCTAACTAGTTTGCATGAGTTGTGGTTTGCATTTTCCTTTGGTTTTAGATTTTATAACCAGTTTATGTGGTGTAAGGTTTTCTTTGTTTTAGAGTACATTTATAGTGTAAAGATTGTAGAAAAATTGAACTGGTTTGATTTACTATCGGTACAGAAATTTTGATCACAAAGCAAGAGGTACCAGAAAGAGCTAGTTTTGAACTTTTTGAACAGTTTTTTTGACACTTTGCATTTTGATCAGTATTCTAACTTGGTAGTCATGTTGACTTGTAAAAATACATGTTTTCATAAAAAGGAATTCAATGATCCTCAAAACCCATTCAAACCTATGTATCCACAACTGTAGTTTCCTTTGATTTAAAGGTTGACCATCAAAATGCAAGAACCACCAACAGCTCTGTAATTCAGACAAACAGATGTGACCAACCAAAGTGTGGCAGACCAGTAGAAATTCTTGAGCGCGTGGCAGTGGAAAATCATGTGTTTCACAAAAGCTGCTTTGTTTGTGCAATATGTAACTCCTGGCTGAACCATTTTAACTACTGCTATGTTCCTGACCATGACAAATTTTACTGCATTCAACACTATCAGGATCTCGAGAATGCCAGTTTCGGATTAGGAGAGGATATTCGGCATGCAATGGGTATAGGACCAGGAGTACAACAACAGTTTAAATTTATACCTGGTGTGTTGGTACATATTTTATTTTTTTTAATTATGTTTTGGGGCAGGAACTTATTATACACTCCAGCCTCCCAGCATTTCTGACTAATTAAAATCCTTGAACAGGTTGGAGATAATCTGCCATATCACAAGTAGATTGGTAGTAAATTAAATAATGACCATACTTAGTTGTTTATTTGTTTTTTTTGTTTGTTTGGGGTTAGATTCTAGTGATGGTAGCAAAGACACCAAAGGAGCAAACAAGGTGCAGAATTCAATCAGAATCATGAAAGAAAAAATTTCTCTGCTTAGCAAAAGAGGAAAGAAGCTGATAAAGAAAGAGAGGAAACTGAAGTCTAACCTTGATGAGTTTAAAGGTGCCAAACAAGTATACATGTTCATTTTCACTTGAATATTTGATGGGCTCACTTATGAACTGAACTTAAGCAGTAGTGGAAATAAGGACTGAAAATAATTCAGATCCGTACAGGATTTGCAACCCATGACCTCTGTAATATGAAGATCACAAATTTATATTAATTTTTTTAATCCCCAGTTTACATATACATGTATAATTTTCATATATACACAGTAATTTAAGGTACCTTGATGTGAAGAATGATAATTATTTGTTTGTTAAGGTTCTTATGCTGAGAAACAAACATTATGGGTAGAGTGGTTTAGTACTGTGCAGGATAAAAACAGTACAGTCAGGAGGGAAGCAGAACTTTCATTTAAGTGAGTATTGAAAAATACATTTTTGTTTGGACTCATTTTGATTGCATATATTGCTTTACATATCATATTACATGGATTTAAATAAACATTTCTATATCAGTTACCAAAGATTTGTGCCCTCTCTTTATCTAGGGTCAGGGAGCTGGAGCTGGCAGAAAAATACTCTCAGTTGGAAAGAAAGCTGAGAGAATTATCTGAAAAAGATGGTATGAGGTTGTTGAAATTTATGGGGAATACTGTTGTTATTGTCATAATTAATGTTGTTTAGTATTGGTTAAGTTAATTGTTATAAAAGTCCTTTACAATCAAAGAATACTGTTGTTATTGTCATAATTAATGTTGTTTATTATTGCATGGTTGAGTTAATTGTTACAAAAGTCCTTTACAATCAAAGAAAAGATTGTCATTTCTGATATCTGATAACTGTGATTTTCGTTAATTATTTATTTAGAAAAAATAAAGACAGAGTATGATAAGTCTAAAGAAAATGAATTACTACAAGAGATGCTTGAGGTGGTGGAGAAAAGAGAGCAGCTGATATCTGAAGTAGAGAATGCCAAGAAGAGGTAAAGTGCTATTGCTCATAACAGAAGAATTGATATAAAAAACTATCGTGTGAATGTTGTTATGAGTAAGTTTTAAAGGTAGAAGGCACTTTGATATTGTGCTTTTTCAGGAAATAAAGCACAATGTTATCAATATCAGTTAAGAAAGTTATTTGATCTCTTTGCAGGTATGCTGAAGAAGACAGCGAGATTGAGAAAGAGAGAAGAGATGCAGGTCAGTTGTAGTCTTTTTTAAAGATAAAATTTTGACTGAAGTTAATTGAAATTAAAGAGTAGCACATCAGTTGGGTGCATGTAGCCCTTCATCCAAGTTCTTCTTTCTCAAATCTATATAAGAGAGTTGTTTTTTGTCTGGGAGGGAAAAGAAACATATAACTTGAAGAAAAACCCCTCAAGCTAGGACAAGGAGTACAACAATTCAATCCACATTTGATGCTCAGATTGGGAATTGAACCTAGGGTAAGTCACAGTGGTGGAAGGAAATTGTTCTCACCACTGCATCATCCCTATCTGGTTAATATGAGAGAGTTCTGGAATGAGGATGATTTTCATGTCAGAAAAATTATCCACGAAATTATCCTTTAACCCTTTAACTCCCAAGACATGATTGTTAATTCTCCTCTCTAGTTGCGACACATTTCCTTGTAAATTAGCCATGAGAATTTAGTGTTAGATCTAAATAACAACTTCTACCTGATAAGTTTGGGTATTCTCACTACCTGTTTTGCTGGATAATGTAAGGGAGAAGTTTTGTTGTTAATTACTGCTGGGAGCAAAAGGGTTGCAAGGCTCAAAAATGTAGTAGTTTTTTAATTATAATGGGCTTGTGTAGAGACAAATTCAAACATATCTTTTTTTTATTCAGGACTGAATGATCCTGATGTTGTAAGGGAGGTGGCTGCTGCTGGAAGGGAAGCCCAGAAAGTATCTGAAGCTGTCAAAAAAGCACCAAGTGCTGTCAAAAAACACTCAGAGTTTATGTGCCCTGGATCTTGCATTTTGCTCTGATACTGATGTGGAATAAAAAAATTCAAACTTTAAAACTTTTGTCATTATTTTTGGTAGAGTGCATTAAAAAGAATAATTATTGAAAACTTCAGTGATGTTTCTTTTTTAATTATTTCCTAGAAGTTTCATGCAGAAGTATTATCTTGCATAGCACAAGCAAGTCTCAATCCTTTGCTTGGTCAATTTATTAAATATCTATGGATACAAACACTGGTTCCTCTTAGTAGAATTACTCGTTAAAGAGTTATATCTTTCCATTCTTAGTGAAGGCTTTTTTATCATTACAATATTGCTTAATATGTTTATTAAAAATACATTATGATTATCAAAAAATTAATACTTTTGTTGTTGGTGATGCGTTCATTGGGCATCATAGTACATAGTCTTTCCTTGTGTGGTGTTGCCTGGTTTAGGCAGAACAATTCATGAGGTTGTGGCATAAGGCAATTACATGATGGTTTTAAGGAAAGAATCTCCATGCATTAACCCCAAGGATGCTTTCCAAAATTTTGTAATTGGTAGTTGATACTTCATAATAAACCCAACAACAGACCAATAAGCAATGAGTTATGTGATTCTTAAACCATCTTGTCAGAGGTAAATACTTGTCCAGTCACTTGGGACAAAGATATTTTACAGCCAGGTAAGATCTAAATGTCTCTATGAGCTTCCACTGTTGCTCTCATGGGTAAATCTGTTAATCAGTCTTGTTAAACATTGCTGTAGTGCCTCTGTTAGTTTGGATTGGTATTCATTTGCCCTTGCCATGGTACAAGTGACTCTAAACAATGGAAGAAGTGTTGTGATCTCTATGTACAACTAAAAACTTAATTTTTGTTTGCTTATTAGAGGAATTAGAAAAGTAGCCAGCACTACTCTTAAGTGTAAAGGAGGAGAAGGTGCAGCAGTATTGAAAAGAAAGAAATTTAGATAACACATCTTTTCAACATTTTAATTTCTGACTGAACCTTGCATGCCATTTCAAATAAAAAAATTAAATATTTATCCTTTTTTAATTACAAACTGAACTAATGAAAATGTACAAAATTATTAATTCTACAGTTTCTTTTTACAAACTCTGAATGAGGGTGCAATCTCTTTGACCCAAATCAAGGCGAAAGATGAATGTGTAATTCATACCAAATTGTTTTCACCAACATTGGAAGACAGATGGTTTTTTAGTAGTTAGACTGAGATTTTGTCTCTCTTTACAATTACCCAACAGCTATTAGTTATGTTTTTTTTCCAGCTGGATGTAAAAGTTTTTGAATAGCCATCAAAGTTACTCATGTCGGACACAGCCGTGAAAGGATTTCACTATTCATAGATTTGGAAAAATCATGTAGATTTGAAATTCATCTCGACACTTCTTAACCATGATAAGATTTTGATTGAAAGGGAGGACCTCTAAGTTACAAATCATCTTAAATATTTTGACCTTTTACAATCACACTGGATCAGCTAGAAGCTTTCATCAAAAGGAGGTTTTCCTCTTACAGTTATCTAAGACTGCTGCATGAAGTGACAGTGTAAAACTGCATTAGCAAACAAGTGAACAGTCCTGATGATAAAATTTAAAAACAATTTATACACTGTACATATATATATGTGTAGACATAAACCTTCCTTTAATAACTTTAAATGCCTTTTAGAGACTGGCAGATTCCTCTAGGAAGTGGAAGATAATCTATTTGGTCTTTACCAACAAGCTTTGCTATGGTCATTCTGCACTGATCCTGCAGTGAGGCATATCTACAGGTGCTGTCACACAGTTCTATCTCGGAGAGTGTTGATGTAGATGAAATGATTGGGTAGAGCTCTGATGCTTTGTTACACAAGCCAGTAAAAGCAAGTCCTAAAGACCTTCCATTTTTGAAGTAAGAGAGAGTTCCTGCATCCATATCAAGAAGAACACCAATCACAGTTGAATCATAAAATGGCTCACAGTAACCTCTATACTGACCATTGTGCCAAATCTTGCCTTTATATGATAACCCCCAACTCTGATCATCCCTGCCAATCAAATCTACAAATTCAAAGTCTGCTGTTTGAAGCAAAGCCTCTTTTGTGCCCACGCCAATCATCATTGATGTGCCAAACACAGAACTCAGCTTAACTTCCCAGTAATGCTGCCCATGTGTGAAGGCCTTTGTGCCACGGACGCCTGCTGTTCCAGTGCTCTCAATGACTGGGTCAATGTAGAAGCAAGCTAACTTATTGTTTAGGCAGAGGTACACTGAAGGCGATTTATCCTCACTGCTCCACACCCACTGCTCATGAAAGGTATCTGACCAAGGATGGAATGATTCTGAATGTTCAGTAGGTTGACTGGATAATTTCCCTGTTAAAAGTATAAAAGTTTTGAAAAATTAATAACTTACATAAACAGTATTTATGACTAGGCTAACCAACAAGTGATCTTAAGTACAGTTAGTCACACATTTCATCATGAGATAAGAAATTACTGAGACTAAAATCCTCAAGTTAAGGAAACTCAGAAATTTGTGACATGTGCTCACTAGCTTCTTGTTAATAATAAAATTATCTGTGTGAGGATCCACTCCCATTTAAAAATAGGAGAAGTTGTCACTTTCTCCAAGGCAATTATTGCATCATGCTTTCAACTGGTCTGTCCTGCTTGGTTTTGTGGTAAGAAGTTTAAATGTTCTCAACCTCTACCAACAAAGAGTGTTGAAAAAATTGTGGTCGAAATGTACGCATATGTCGATAAGTGTGTAACAAAAGACAAAGAGACAAAAAGACAAAGATCGAAAACATATATTTGAGAAATGATTGAGTTGATCGTAAGCGCGATCAGTGCCCTTTTTAAGGGCAAAATCCCAGCTAATGGTTCTGTTGGTTCAACCTATTAACACATTGGGATGTTATCAATGATTTTGTCTGCACAATCTACATCTACATTTATTAGTCTTGCAAAGGGGGGCCATCACGCAAGACAATTTGCAACATCGTCCGCAAAAGCAGCAAATCAACAAAAATATTGAATGAAGAAAATAAATAAAGAACCAAACCTTTCATCCTTACTGGAATCGAAAATTCTGGAAAGCGTAATGGAAAAATGGAGCTGCTTTTCTCTTTTTCAAACCGTGACTAAAAAAAAGCTTGATTCTAATGCTTATTTCAGCATAAAAGAAATCGTACGATGCTGTGGTAAGCAATATTTACATTGAAATTGTGAGGAGTTTAAATAAAAAAAGCTTGGTTCTAATGCTTACTTCAGCATTAAAGAAATCGTGCGATGCTGCGGTAAGCAATATTTACATTGAAATTTTGAGGAGTTTAAATCGCAAAATTTGGCTGATGTCTTGCGTTTTTTCAGACTGATCAGAAATTACAGTCGTTTCACAAAAATCTATCAATTTCCATGCCAAAGTTAACCACTGAATGTATACGGCTTTATTGGGAAAGAAATGTCGATGTACCCTTCAGTTTCGGAAGGTCACCTACGAAATCTACTACGATTGCAGTTTTGCGGATGTAAACAAACAACAGAAATGTGTACAAAATACGCACAGTGCTGCAAATTCGACTGAAAAATGCTGCCTCTGTGCCATTTTAATTTCTAAGTAATGGTTATTAGTAGAGTTAAATCCCTTACCCATTTTGTGGTGTAGTTCCACGAAAACTTTCACCAGATCGATGTCTTGGTATAGTAATCTGAGAACTCAGGAGTGTTGTTATCAACGTACGTGACTGCTCACAAGTAATCGAAGTAGTTTCTGAAGCTTCGTCAAGACTCACGAGTAGTACGACCGGAAAGCTTTGCTGCTGTTTTTTTCCCAAAACAGGAACTCTTAAATTTTCAAGAAACGTTGAACTGGTCAAATTGAAAACTGTACGATAAGCTAAGCGGGTCTTCCTCTTGTACATAAAAAACTTTTCAAACCCAGTGAACAACCTGAAATGATCTCGTGACCTTCAGGGGACACCTGTGATTGGCTATGTCAAACCCGGCAAAACCGGAATGGCCTGATTCTGAGTAACAAGGATCCAAAGTAAACAAAACGGACGTGACAACTCAGTTGCCTCGGATCGGTAGGAGGATAAAACTCTGTATCGTAAAATCGTAAGCCCTTGATAGATTTATTTACAGCTTTAATTTTTCTGAAGAGAAAAACCGTCTAAAGGTCGCGGAGGAAATGCGATAAAGTTTACTTCTCGGTTCCTTTTTGTAGTCAGTCTCGTCAGCTAGGAGCAGCGCTCTCCTCATAGATTTTTTAGATGTTTTGCAAAGTTCGAAAAAAGAAAAAAAAGGAAAAGTACCAATGAAAGGATCTAGTTCTTCTGCAGTCACTGCTTTTACAAAACGTTCCAACCTCGTAGATGTTTTTCTGCAATGGGTCATTAAACGATCGTGGAAAACGCCTCATATATCTAGTGATGTCATAGCGGTTCCTAGATATTAGAGCGCGTGCTGAACAGAACGAATGCGGAAAGAAACATAATTCCATCTGTCAAACCAACCACGACAACAAATAAATGGATTCCGATGGGAAAAAAAAAAACAGCAGATATTTCGTGACTAGAAACCCAATCCGTTTCTGAAATACTTTTCTTTTATCTCCCGCGAAGTGGCTTTGGAACTAGATTATTCGCGAGTGAGATTTACTGGCAGATTCGCATGTGATTTTTACTAAAAACACGCAAGTTGTTTTAGTGAGGAGAACATGCCTAGTGAGCAGTCCTCTCATAACTATCTTGTTGTTTTCTACCAGATTCCCGTTGCCTTGAAATACCTCCGGAATATAACCGTGCGACCTCGCATCTCCCAGTGACGTAACAGAAGTAAACAAATGCCTTACTTTTGTCCGCGTCTGTCGCGCGTTGTCTCCATTGATTTGAACATTTTATTGCGTTCGATCTAAGAATTCACCAAAACAGATTCTTAAAAAATTAGCTGTAAGGATATGCAACGTAAAAAAGCTTAGACATTTCAGTATTTGAAAACCATTTTCGTGATTTTAGGTTGAAGGAGAAACATGCCTATGAGAGCCCGCGTTGTGGCAGAAGACCTAACGACAACAAACATCGTGCGAGCTTGCATCATCTAGTGACGTAACAGAAGTAAAGAAACAATTGCCCTCCCTTGTCTGTCGCGCGCTATCGCTGTTAACTTGAACATTTATTGGTCTCGATCTAAGAATTCAACAAAATAGATTCTAAAAAAAATAGCTATTAGGATATGCAACGCAAAAAAACTTAAAACGTTTTAATATTTGAAAACAAATCCCGTGATTTCAGATTGGAGGAGAGACACGAATGTATGAGCCCGCGTTGAAGGCCGAAGACCTTTTTGACCAGCAGGCTACGCCTTAATATTGTTTTGCAACAAGAACAAACAGAATATTGATAAGCCTCACTCGAGGAAGTAATGGTAATTAATTTCGCGGAGAGAAATCGTTAGAGCAAAAGTGTTTATCCCCAAGTCAATCGGAGGTTTGTCGTGAATTATGGCATTGGTTCAGACAAGTTTTTACGCCAATCCTTTGGAGACTTCCAGGCTTTCACAGCGCGAACTTCTCGCGCGCATTTTCGGCCATCAAGAAGCTAGCGAACATGCCCACGGTATGGATTTCGAAGAAAGCTTCAGTGATTCAGGCTCTGACCATGAAATGGAGGAATGCAATGAAGGTACAGTCTTTGTGTATTATCTCTTTATCGTACCATTCTCAACATGGGAAACAAGAGGGCGTTTTTGCCCAAGTGCTGTGGAAGGTTTTGTACTGTAAATGTAAACAAGGAATTTATCCGCCATTTGCGGAAAAGCTGACGTGCACTTTCTCGTGATAGCTTTTTTTTCTTTTCTCAGCAAAAACCATTTTAGAACTTTCATTTTTACAAGCATGTACCTGCATTTTTTCAAAGCGTGTCTTTTGGCTTCGCTTTCATACTTACGGGAATAATGAGAAGTGCCTTTTGTACGCCTTGATGCAAAGATGTAAATTTCTCCTAGCCACAAGACAGCTGTCGCCATCTTGCAGTTGAATAAATTGATTTAAGGTGTGAAAAAATTGTCTTGGAAGCAGTCTTTCATATTTATATACGGACGATTATGCTCAAGTACGAAATACTTCTTTTCCTTCTTTAAAGATCGATCGCCGTGTGAAATAAAGCAAGAACTACTTGTAGTGAATAGTTCTTGTTGACCTTAAACAACTTTGAAGATTGTCGAAATTTTTTGTTACCATTTCTCATCACCTTAACGCTATTTTGAATAATTTTAAAGATGCCTGAACTAGTTTTCAGTTTTTGGGTATCGGTTTGACAGTCACATCGTTTTTTCTTTGCATGCTATGATTCACGTGGAGCACTGAACTATTTGTTGTCAGTTTCCTTTTCTGGTTGTAAAAGATGAAAGCGAAGAGCTAAAATTTAATTTTCAGCGGTGGCAGCATTTTCACTGGCCTCTGATCACGGGCACTTTTATAGTTCTTTTAATTATTTAAGAAAGATTCAAACGTGAATCCCTTACTTTCCACACCCTTCTCATTTACATCACCTGGCTCACTGCGATCTTTTCATAACTGGTTTCTTCAAGGCTTACCTACTAACTGTAACATAGTTTCCGAAATAAATTTTGAAACAGTGACACCTTAAAGACAGAATGGAGCTGTTCCATTGAAATGGTATTTTGAATTATGTTAATTTTGACTTAATCATTAAGATCACATAGGTAAATAATGAATATAATATATCCTAATATGAATCACTTCGTTTTATTGCCAGTTGATAACAGCAAAGTCATAACTGTATATATATGAAGTACATTCACCTTTGAAACTGCTATTTGTTACAATCAAATAAGGGTCTTCTAATTTCACCATTTGCACACAAAAAATTATTAAAACCTGTTTTGCCCAATGAACCTTGTCTAGGAGGCATTCAAAGAAAAGATGAGACTTTGGTGTTTGTTTGTTCTTTCATAGTACAAAACCAGCTCACAGCCAAAGGGTAATCATTAAAACACTAATAGGTTTTACAATAATCCCCCCCCCTCCCTGTGGACAGTTTTTTAGAGTTCACATTATTATTTCCCTTTATAACTTTGGTATTGGAGATAACCTCTGATAATGGGAATGATTGTTTTGCAGCTTGGAAACTGTGTTATTGATGTTCCTGTTTTTACATGATAAAATAAGGACAGAAAAACTTTTAGTCCAGTTAATATTTATTACATTTCAGGATGAGAGCTGGTACAGCTAAAAGCACTTGTTGGTCGTTCCACTAATGGTTGCCTTCCTTCACCATGTCAAGGCACAATGTCTTGATGAAAAAGGAAGTGTTTTTGAGGTGTTAAGGTAAAGTGAAATTCCCATACTGACTTCAGTGTAATGTCAGTGTTGTGGTTGTAAATGTTGGTTGTATGGTTGTAAATGTTGGTGGCATGGTTTTGGTTGTGGTTGTGGATATTGTTGTCTTGTGTATTTTGCTTCCTGAAACATGATTATTTTTAAATGTTGTTAAGGTTGATACATTATTATTTGCTGTTTCTTACGGAAAAAAGCTGTTTAACAGCTTTCATGGTTATGATAAGCAATAATTTCTTCAAGCATTTTGCTCCAGGATGTTGATATGAATTAATAAATTAAAATCGTGGGAGTTGAAAACATTTAAAAACTATACTATTGGATGTTCATCTAAAATCATTATCAAGTACAAATTTAAAGTAACAGCTGATAAGAATGTTTACATATCAGGTATAGCTGAACTTAATTTAAAGAGGAATGAAAGTATTCAAAATGATCTTTGAAAGAGTTTCTTATGGATGGTAGTTAAATCTGTGTATTCACACACAGGTTTTATTCTTTCATTCATTTTGATTAAGAGTTAATTTGTCCTTAGTATTTTTACTCTTGGCAGATCTTTTTCTTTACTTGATGATGAAGTCAGCAGAATGTCAAACACTGTTTGCAGTGTTTTAAAAGTTTAAATACAGCAAAAAGTATTTAATTTAGTCACAATTTGTGGGAAGAGAACTTAAGCAATTGTTGTACTGTGTTGTGTTATTTTCATGGTTTTCAGTGGTGTTGTTGTTTATGTGTGTATTGCTAGCCTGTCTGAAGATGCAAGAAAATCATGATAATAATTTTGTGAAATGGTTAATTTTCAGTGGTTGACTTCCTTCCCCAGTTGAGACTTCACAAGTCTTGATAAAAAAGGAAGATAGAGCTTACCCTATAGATACATTATCTAATCTTGATATAACTGTGGTGTTATCATGTCTTAAAGCTATCTTTTTATTTGTTTTTGTTTATTAAATTGTGATGTGTATCTGAGGGACATAAAAAATATTGACTAAAGATAAAATTAAATTATAGCAATAAAGATGTTATCATTGATGTTAAAAGTGCAGCACTTAGAAATCAGATACCTTAAGTGATAATATTTCCCAGGAGAGATCCTAATAAAAAAATATTCCTATTGATAATTTTTCTCAGTCTGTAATGTGATTCATAACCTATATCTTTCATTTGTTATGTACATAAGATAAAAATGGTTGGTGTTATTAAGAGTCATACGAGTAAATTCTAGGTCAAATATTTCTTTTATCTTTAATGTCTTTTTGCCCATCGCTCCTCAGATTTTGACTGGAAGTGGGATCCCAATACACTCTCATCTTCTGTGTCCCTTACACGAGGTAATCAAGAGGTGCTGTTCCATCCTGATTACAGCTGTGGAACTGCAGCAGCAAAAGGCTCCCAGCCCCTTTGTCAGGGGGGAGAATACTACTGGGAAATCAAGATGACCAGTGCAGTCTATGGTACTGACATGGTAGGTCATGTTCTCCTCTGTCGTGGACTGACACAACAGAGACGGAGCTACAAACATGACAGCATGTTGAAAGAGAACTTTGAAGACTTGACACACTCTACTGTAAAAATATCTTTGCACCCTTTTACACACCAGTTCTTAAAAAGGAGACAAAGAATTGACAGGACAAGACTGTGCAGTTTTATGGTACAAAAACACACCTGAAAATGTACAACCCACATGTTAACACAAACATTGAAAAGGATTCAATGAAAAAAGTTGTGCCACTCATAAACTGCACAGTGTAACCACCATACAGACTCACTAAGACAACAGACCAAGTCCGTGCATACATACATGGCACAAAATACAATGACTTACATGGAGTGAAACAAATGTAGCCGTGAAACAGAGGAATGACTGCAAATACAGACCAACAATACAAGATCAATAATGACTGATGACTTTTTTGTATCCTTTTGATTGTATTAAATTCTAGAGGTTGCCACATGGTTTTTATTTATTTATTTTTTTTTCTAATTACAATGTATTACTATGCATGTTATTTGGGATGGAGTTTATAAGTCATGTTAGTATAATTTCAGAGCTGAGCAAAGAGTTTCCAGCAATCTGATTGGTCAAGCAGTTCCTTATATGATGCTATATAAACCACTCCACGCGGTTTATATAAAATGTCAAAATAAAATGATAATAAATGTTACTAAAATGTWATGATTTTAGAAATTTCTCTGTTGTTCAGCTCTGAAATTATACTTAAACAATTATTCGCCTCAGGTTCGGTGAATATTGTCGAATAATCCCCTCGACTTTGTTTCGGGGATTATTCGACGATATTCACCTCGCCTTCGGCAAATAATTGTTAAGTATAATGTACCATTGGCATTGAATTAAATGATAAATGAGAGTATCAGTACCAGAATAACCTGGTAAATTTTAAAAAAATTTTCAATGAGGAAAGCAGTTCATGCTGTGTGGTGATCATTTTTTCATCCGATCATTGAATTGCTTGAAATTTTAGCTCTGCTTAATATGTGATGCTAAAATTTGGTTATGAAAGCTTTGAATTGTTATCTAAATTAGTGCAACTCCAAATTTAAAGAACTATTATAATAGTACCATGTGTAAATGGGACAGTCAAGGTGGAGAATTGCTTCTATTAGACCTCCTACGGGAAGACCACATTTACAGATCTTAATAGTAATTCTCCTTAATGTCTGCCAAACAATTCTAATGATATTTGTTTGAAAAACTTGGTCTCACTGATATTGTATTGATATTTTAAGGAGAAATTCTGTCTTGGTCACTCATAGGAGTTAAACTAAAGGGTTAAAAAAAATGTTGGGTTTTAAAATATTGATTTTCAAAAGTGGTTATTTAAAGGGTTGTATTATTTTGTCTGTCTTAATTGCTCTGTGACAGAGATATACATCTCTAAATTTTGGCAAGAAGAGCAGGATAGGATTTTTTTAGCACTTCCAAATAACATGTTGATGAATGACAATGCAATATTCATATCCTGTCTATCCTTTTGTGTAACTGATTGCTGCGAAGTTGGTACACCAGCTGTAGTACTCAATGTAAGACTCAACAAGTTCTGTTTCTGTTCAAATATCAGATGCTGGGAGTATGTAATGATGACCTGGATATTACTCAATACAAAACTTCATTCTGCAGTCTTATTGGCAAGGATAGTAACAGTTGGGGGCTCTCTTAAACTGGTAATTTTTATCATAAAGGAAAAGCCCAGAAGTTCTCCTCAAGATTTGACCATGGCTCAGTTATCGGAGTTCATCTGGATACATGGCATGGGAAGCTTTCTTTCTTTAAAGACAATGAGCCACTGGGTGTGGCAGCTAATGGACTTAACGGGAAACCATTGTATCCTGTAGTGTCGTCAACTGCTGCAAGAACAAAGATGAGGTTGCAACGTAGTTCATCTTCATCTTTTTCACTGCAGTATCTGTGTTGTGCAGCAATTGGTAAACATCTTCCGAATCTTGAAGCTCTCAAGGCTTTACCCATACCCCCAGGGGTGAAACGTCATCTTTGTAATGAACTTGAGTGGATCTTTAAGGTTCACCTTCCCTCACAAGTGAAGAAAACCAGTGGCACTGATTTGTGATGTCTGTTACTTAAACACATTTTAATTTGTATCAAGGAAATGAAATGTCCTCATTAAATGGAAATAGTGTCCTTAGTTGAACCTCAGTCATGCTGGGAAAAGTGAACTAGAATTATATAGCCAATGAAGGAAAAGGTTTACTAAATATATTTTTCATATGATCAGAATAATGTTAATACTGAATATGTATATGTTTTTGTGCATCAGAAATTGCTAAATAAGTTGAGTTACTTAGTTCGAAGTTGTCAAAGTGAATCTCAAGTACTGAAAACAGCTACCACACAGATATTGGTGTTAATACTGATAGTGTTCTTTTGTCTACTCAGCCAGAAGCTTCCTATTTTGTTTAGAATGACTTGAAATACAAATCCCTGGAAATTTTAAATGAGTTACTACAGCAAGAGATAAGATTAAAATTTATGGCTAAGTGATTGCGGAAATTGAAAAATGTCGTGGGTAGTTGCGTTGGCTTCCAAAGTATACATTGAATTTTTATTTTAAAGTTAGGTACTAAAAGTTTAAACAACAACTATAGACTGAGGTGCTTGGTTTAAAGACAGTTATTTGTAGAATTGTATTTATGAAACCTTTTTTTGTACCTATCCTTATAAATATGTCAAAGTAAATTATAATTTATATCGTGAAATAGGTCATGATAGTAATTGTGGTAGATAACACATTACCAGAGAAATCTCTTTTATTGTTATTTATTTTGAAAAAGGATGAAAATAAGAGAGACAGTGTATGTCAAAATGCAAATAATCGAAAGCTTGAAGATTTTTTTTGTTGCAATTAGAGGTTTAAAAATATATAGTTGGTTTGCATATTTTGAGGGAAAAGTTCCTTTTTTGATGATTATTTTGTTTTTGGTGGCCTTTTTGCTTTTCACCAAATAAATACTGTGTTAGGTTTTTTAAACAAATGAAACCTTACCTGATAACAATAAAGCTAGAAAACAACAACAGATCTGGCGTAGCTTAACTATAAACAGTTGGGATTGGAGAGATAAAAAAAAAAAAAAAGCAGATAAATACTATGAAGTAATGAACTTTTATACCCAGGCACCCTCTGTCTGAGTTTATAGATTACAGCAATGGGCTTTTGTGTCTTTCCTCCTCCTTTTTTTTGTTGCAAAAAGTGGTGATTTCTTGGCTAATTATTTTCACTCTTCACCATGATATGATAATACCTGACCCTTTTGAGTTTTGAAATTTTTTTCTCTCATCACTTCATGAGGATAAATTATATTGGGACGTTAACCTCAGCAATGCCAGTAAAGACCCACAAAATAGCGAAGTATCAAACTCGCCAGAAAGTCAACCTGTACCTTCTTGTGGAGGTGGGGAACATTGCGGTTTTAACAGCGTACCCAAAACGCTAGGACTGATTACCCAGAACGTGAGAGAGAGATTAGGAGAACCTCGGCCCTGGGCGTGCACTCTGAGAAGGCCTGGGCTCTAGTCGGCGACATCAGAGAACATAAACACGATGGCGCAGGCTGTTGCAGGTAGTTAGTAGGAAGTGCTTCAAATAGATTGCCAATTCGCTCATCTGCAGCAGCTAGGGAAACATTTTTACTTTTCAAAGCGTGGCACTTCAGAAGGAGAGAAAAATGTCAACCATTGCAATGCAAGAAAGGAATAATTCAGAGAAAAACATGAACGGTAAGGTAGTGACTCTGGATGGGAGGAAGTGAGTTGCAGCTTTTGCGCTGAGTCTATTCAATGCAGTTTTACTGTTAGCTTTCATCTTCTTTTGGCACCACACTAGGCTTACCTTTCCCAGTAACGGTGAAGTATCGGAAGAAAGTGTGAGTTTACATTGTTCCTCACCATCATGTCCATCAATGAAACGCTTTGTCATATCTTAGACAAATAGTATTTCAACTAGAAGTACGTCGAGTATTAAGAAAATCGTGTGTAGTTTGTAGTCTATTGTGTATTAGAGAAACAGGTTGGGTTAGAAAGAACGTGCTCGCGTAATGTTTAAAATTCTACCCCGTGACGAACTTAATTCAGGGGTCACCTTCCAAACGCCATCCGACTAGTTGATTTTTTTTCTTTTATTACTCTGTGCCGTGCGTACTTTCCTCAGCTCATTTCTTTCATTTTAATTTTTAAACGCGGTCTTCGAGTTATGGATGTTCGTATTCTGAAACTTTCATGAACAAATTCTTCTTTTCAAGTTTTTACTTCACGCTGATAAATATTTGGATTTAGTGGGTGCCTATTGTCTTGATTGTGAAACAAATATTTGTGAACACTTAAACCTGATAATGTTATTTGACAATAATTATTTTTTTACGAACCTTAAATTGTAATCACTCACTTCATGTCTGTATTAGAAACCATACATTTTATATGCATGAACAAGTGGATAGCGTAGGGTGTGATTTGATTACTTCAAGAATTTTGCAAAAGAATATCCATCAAACTTAATTAGCTGTCAATAAAATTAGTTCAGTGATGCTTCTAAGCGCAGCAGGAAGCTGTAATGTGTAGTGTTGGGAATGTGAATGATTTACTGTATGAAATTGACCTAAAATGTCTTTTCTTGCCAGAAGTGTGGGAGGGATGATCATAAAGAAAGATCAATAATAAAAAGATTATTTTTAGAAATGGGGTTATAAAGTTGCTGCCAGCATTTTTTTTTCCTTTTTGTACTGTCCATTATTTTTTTGTAAACTTTTTCTTTTTCTATTAATAGCTTTGATGTGGAGTATTATTATTATTAATAATCATTGTTTTTATTGTTGTTCTTACTGAGTTAGGGGATAGATAGAGAAAAGGCATGATGAACTGGTATTTTTCAATATCAATTATAATAAAAGAATTACATACATACATACAAACATACAAACATACATACATTCATACTTAATTGACTTTTCCCAAAAGAGGCTTTTCAAAGAGAATATACAAGAGTTACTAATCACAAATAAGAATAACAATGACTAAAATACGATCCCAAGACTCGTAACATACACTAAGATGTTTCTAAAAATTATAAAAATATATAAATAGAAAATTAAATGTGAGGGTAGAGCCTACCTTGGCATAAAGTGCTCAATGCTGCGTTAGCGCTTCGGCGTGAAACTCAGAGTAACAGAGAATCGATGTATCCTCTTTGATTCTTCAACTAATGTAAATAGAAAATTACATTTCTTTGAGTAGTTTGGTTTTCAGGCGATTCTTGAATTTAAGAGAGTGATCTAAAGAATTCCCTTAGTTAACGATTCTATAATAAATAGTTCTTTGGAATTGTGTTACTTTGTACCAAAACTGACTTTAAGTTGTCTGCTTAATTTCTCTATTTGTTAGAACTCCATATTAAGTTAGAATAACTGGTTAACAGACACTTCTATAAAATCAAAGAGTGAGTGTAGTACTTCTTTATGAAGCTCAATAATATTTGTTTGGATTCCTAAACTTGGTTACCATATGAGGTAAATATTGGTTAACCATATATCAATACATTATAAAAAAAAAAAAAAGATGTGGTACCTAGTGCCTAAAATGTTGTGTGTTTTATTATACTTTCCATTTTGAAATTAATTTTTATGGATTTCTAGTCTAATGGAGATACTTGTTTCATTTGATTGTAGGTTTGACTCCCCATGAGATGGCTCTCCTTTCTGGAATAAGGAAAAAGAAGTCAGAGTTGTTGAGTGAAATTCAGGTACCATATTGATGAGAAACATTTTCTCGTTATCTTTAGTTCCCTATATTCTTTTCATTAACTTCAAATTTAATTACTCTGACAGTCAAAATCAAAGAGTCCTTCAACTGATAGAAAAATGCAAGAATGGAAAATAACAAAAATGGAGGATGGTGAAGGAGAAAGATTTATTTAACAGTTTAAACTCATGAATAATGAAAATTTATTTTGAAAGACTTTCTTAGATGGAAAAAAAAATATTAAGCTGTTTTTTTTTTTTTTCAGATCAAATGACCTTATTTTTATAGTGACAGATTTAACTAAAAATGGCTATTTAATTTGGTCTTCTGTTTACGATAAAAATATTTTCATACTGTCAATTTCAAAGCTGAGCTTTGACCCATTCATTGCTGTATTAAAGCTCAAATGTCTTAAATTACATAATTGTATCTCCAATCATTTAAAGATTTCTAGCAGAGACATCCACAAAAAATGTCTCTCTTTTACAGGATCATTTTGCTAATTTAAGAGCTTGCATTTGTCTGGAGTTTTCATGTGTTTGAAATACTGTTTACCAGGAAATGAACTGTCTGGAGGGCTACTCATCAAATTGTTAGGTCTCAAGTTGGTTGAAATTACAGTATTTAATGCAAAATATCCTTATTGCCCAATTTGATATTTCTTTGCCTTCAACTTTGGCTGTATTATTAAGATTTAACAGCTGTTAGGGTGTGATAAGATTGTATAATTAGTGTGTAAGTGATATATAACAATATCTCTGTCAAATAATATGTGTTAGAGGGTTGAGAAGATTCTTGTGCCTTGAGTTAGACATTGACCTTGCTTGTTACTCTGTAAATTGAAGGATGTTGATGTCAGGAATATTCTTGTTTTTAAAAGTTTTCTCCTCTGGTTGTAGCGACTAAAAGCTGAGATAGCTGAAGTCACATCAGAAATGGATATGATTGAACAACGTGACAATGGGTAATTGAAAATAAAATAAAATATTTCAAAGTGTTTTGAGCAGATGGTTTGTGTAAAAGTTGTAATACATAGACCACTTTCATAAATGGCTGCTGGATTTATTTAATATTCTTTTGTTTAAATTTAAATTAGCCCTTCTGACCTCGTTCTCCAGTACAAAATTCAAAAGAATACATTATCTCAAGCAAGGCCAGAAGGGCTAATTTAAATTTAAACAAAAGAATATTAATCTGCCAGCCATTTATGAAAGTGGTCTATTAAATGACTTAAATATATAAACCTTGTACAGCTTGTGAGATGAACAATTAGATGTCGCACACCAAAATTTTATGTCAACATTTTAGGTTTTTATTACAAGTTAGGATCAGTACATATCAATATACAGTGAAAGCTCTCTGTATAGAGAAGCCACCTTCTCCAAACAGCCATTTCAGCTTCAAAAATACAAATTCTAATTTCCTTTAGAAAGGAAGTATTTCTCACAATTTTAGCTCTGGGAGTTTATTATGAAATCAAACAGTATCTGATGGTTGATATTTTTTTTCTCCTCATCACCTAATTCCTTGAGAATGTCCTAACATTCGAGGGAGAAATCATTTTTTGGTCACTCATGGGAATGACAGGGTGAAGGGGGTGATTCAGCAACAAATGTATCATCCCCTTTGATAAAAGGTTCTCTGTCACCTGTAATCTAGTGCAGACAGGCAAACTTTATTGTAATTATTAAATTATAATTTATACTCTGCATGATATGATCTTCTCATATACTAATTTCTGTTTTCAACAGTTCTAAGGATGATCCTCGAGCTAAGCAGTTATCAACTGGAAAGAAAAAGTTCAACATTGATCCAGAGAAGGTATGTACAGTGGCAAGCATTCCATGTTATCTTTGCTGGCAAGACAGAATTTGCTCAATCTAGGTGCATCATTCTAGCTCCATTGTGACTGTTTGGATCAGTTGTCAATTAAAAATGATATCAAATGTAAATATTTCTTTTCAACTCTGCAAACTACTTTCCTTACAAGAGAGGATTAAAAATGTTGTTTTAATGAACATGCCTGCAGGGAATAGAATATCTGGTGTCCAACAGCTTGCTCAATAACACTCCAGAAGACATTGCTGACTTCCTCTTCAAAGAAGAAGGACTCAATAAAACCATGATTGGAAACTATCTTGGAGAAAAGTAAGTTGTTTACTCACGTAGTTAGGGACTTTTTCCCATAGGATTAATCAAACATAAAGGTTTGAGTTGATGCCAAAAGCATTTGTCCCAAGGCTTCCAGAAGAGCAGTCTTGCTTTAAAACAGTTACTGTAACAATGAAAGATGTTACTCAAAAGCATCCATGCCACTTGGTGGTAGTACACAGCCAGGATTTGGAATGAATGAGTGTGGGGCAAGTTCATTATTTTTCCTGAAGGTTTTTTGTGGAATAATTGCTTTGGTTCTTGTTAATTCCTTTTTAAATTCCTCTCATTCACCAACCCTTCTTCTCTACTTACAGTTACACATCTGGGTGCTCCATGATAGTTGTAGTGTTTATTATCCAGATACAATGTGATCATTGCTGGGCAAAATTTTTGCCTGTCAGCAAAATATTACTTATTTTGATTATTTAACAAATTTTTGTACACAGCAAAGAGTTTAACTTAGAAGTATTCAGAATCTTTGTCGAGCTTCATGATTTCAATGGAAGATTGTTGGTAGATGCTCTGAGGTGAGTCAGCTCATCAACTATATATAAATTATCTTATTAACCAAGCATGAGGGCTGTACTGGGAGAATATTGGCCTGAGGTCTTGACAGTACGGACCGAGCGCAGCGAGGTCCATACAAAAAAGACTAAGGGTCGATATTCTTCCAGTACGGTCCCAAGCAAGCTTGGTTATTAAGAGATTTATTATACGACTGAAATTCAAAGGGACACAAGTGCGGTATCATTCAGGGCCATTCGGGACTGTGCCCAGTCCAATACTGAGAGAATATTGACCGGCAATAGAGCATTTTGATTGGTTGATTTTAGTTATTGGCCCTCTGACTGCCCGAGTCGTGTAATAAAGTGTTTTACTGACTTTTGTACAAGAATTTTAGGTGATCAAGAGCGTAGTTCACATGATGATAGCAGAGGGTTTTGCAGGTGATTGATGTAAATGAAGAAAACAGAGCAGGGCCATGTTAATGGATGGCAGAACTTAAAAAAAGAAATAAACCTTGATGCAGAAAAGAGAAACCTAGCAACCAATCTCTCATTATAAGTAGACTCATCACATGTGTGAAAAGCAAAACATCACTGTGAGAGCTTCTGTTCTGTTGTGAGGCCTTTGGTGGTCTCACAAAAAATATTAATATCAAGGTGTAGTTTTTTTCAAAAGGGATTTTAATCCAGAAAGTTTAGTATAACCATTAGTATTCATATATGCACAGAAGCACAACTGAGATATGTTGATCGCACAATCAGAGGTCTACAATTTAATTGTTGGAAATATTCTGTGTTCACCACTCATTTAATGCACTGTGTCTTGTTCACATGCACTCTCACATTGTCATCAACCAGTGGTTTTTTTTTTTTCTTCCTTGTAGAGAATTCTTGTGGAGCTTCCGTCTACCTGGTGAAGCCCAGAAGATTGATAGAATGATGGAAGCATTTGCTAAGAGATATTGCGATCAGAATCCAGGAATGTTTACTTCAACTGGTGAGTTGAATACAAAAGACAAGCTAAGTCAATCAGTCATGATCATTGCATTTAATAAACTCATTTGGATTCCATCTTCAGATACTTGCTATGTTTTGAGCTTCTCGCTCATCTTGTTGAACACCAGCCTTCACAACCCAAGTGTTAAGGATAAGGTAAGTGGTGTCAAATTTGTGCAAGGTCATCTTTTGCATAATGTTGTCAATTAAAATATGTATTTCTTAAGACAAGACATAAGCTCTAATTTTTGGGCCCTGTGCTTTGCGCATTAGCAGCTAAAATTAACAGTCAAGTGCTTTCTGTGCTTTCTATGGAGTGAAGCAAGAAGGAGTATTAATACCCCATGGATGGGATGGTTGTGGACTCCTTACAACCTCTTTCCCTTGTAAGTGCCCAAGTTTTCCAGGCATTTTTTTTTTTTTTTTACTCATTTACACTTATTCAAATGATAAGCGGAATTATACAAGCATGATTAAAATTATGCAATTAACATCATTATTCAACTTATGTCCTTTTGTAGCCTACATTAGAGAAATTTATTCAGATGAACAGAGGAATAAACTGTGGAGAAGATCTACCTTCAGATACCCTAGCGGTTGGTGAATTATTTTGAATCTAGTAGAGATCTACATGTAAGAAATACTAGTCTGTTCTCTTGATAATTCATCTTGGAAAATTATTAACATGTTGTTTAGATCAAAATAAAATCACCACTCCATGAATAAAATTGAAGAGCAGTCAGATAAGAAATTGTATTTTGTGGGCACATGTCTGCGCATGGCTGTTGCTGTCGAAAGGGCCCCTAGACTGTTGAGTTTATTTTGGTCATGTGATCAAAGTAGGTGATGATAAGTTGAGTGTTGCTTTAAAACCTAAGATTTGAGACATAAGCATGCTTTGAGTTTTCTCAAGTACATCAGCAAGAGTGTTTAAACAAGACTAGACAGCTCTTATCCCAATAATTTGGATATATCAGCAAAGTTGAAATGGTAAATTGGCCACCGTAACGATTACAGAAGCTGACGTTTCAAGCGTTAGCCCTTCATCAGAGCATTACCCCTTTCGCTTTTGTAATCGTTACAGTGGCCAATTTATCATTTCAACTTTGTTGATATACCCAAATTATTTCGTTACCCCCACTGACGCAGCCCCAAACAGTTTCTTTACAAACTATCAGCCTTTATTCAGCTCTCATCCCAGATTGGTTCTCATTTGAACAAGTTGTTCAAAGTGTCAGTATTTTGTATGGAAAATTACCTCACTGAGAGTGACCTTGCAAGGATGAGGCAGGGTGTTGTATCATACTGGGCACCAAATGCATAGAGCTACATGTGTGTTGATTACATAATACTATGCTTTTTTATTATTCTAGAGTTTATACGAGAGTATAAAAAATGAACAGTTCAAGATCCCAGAAGATGATGGAAATGATATCACGAGAACATTTTTCAACCCTGATAGGGAAGGCTGGCTTATAAAAGAAGGTAATAGCTTTTGTATTTTTATGATCTGTGTTTTACCAAACCAGAAAATTTGCAAAATCTGACAAACGTATTTTTATAATTGTCAAGGTGGCTTACACAAAAGTTGGAGGAAACGGTACTTCATCCTTAAAGATAATTGCCTCTATTATTTCAAGAATATAGGGGTAAGTTATCTGTCCACTTCATCAAACACCACCATGGTGTATTTCATCACTTTTAATGAACTATCAAATGATTGATACCTAGGTAAATTCTGGGTCATCCTCGGTGTAAAAACCCGACGAGGTTTTCTTTGTTTCATGAAGTATTGTTTTGCAGTAGGCTATTGTTTATAAAGTTTTGTTGTCTTTGTTTTATGTCACTCGCGAGCTTCACAGGTTTTTACACCGAGGATGAGCCTAAATTCTTCTTCAATATCAGTACATCATGAAGCAAATATGTGGAGAGAAAAGAAAACTCATCAGCTAATTATTATCTTGGTAAAACACCAAATTTTCTCAACTTATTCAGAAGGAAATGTGTGTTAGGTGGAAAGCATAAAGGACATGTGTGCCCAAGTATTTTACTATTTCTCAGTGAATATGACCTTCAAGTATTAATACCTAATTTTTTTTTAGTGAATCAGAATTTATTATTCTCATTTAAATTCCCTGATACCACCCAAACCGTGCATGACATCAACAGAAAAAAACATAACATATTTGCTATCATGTGCTCACTGGAGGCTGCATGACCCAAGTGAATTGGAATTTCTTATTTTCCAATAGTGTTCTAAAGGCTTAGAAAAATGGCAATGTTTTTTGTAGGACAGGGAACCACGTGGCATTATTCCTTTGGAAAATTTACAAGTAAGAGTAGTGCAAGATGCAAGGAGAAAGGTAACTTTTAAAAGTATATTAAGCTCATAGAAATTACTTGTAAGGCTTAATTTAGTTATAAAGTGATGGAACAACAACCTGGGAGGATTTGCCTTACTTTGTTCTTTTTTTTTTCTTTCAGTATTGCTTTGAAATATATTCAGCAGATAATTCCTCTGGACTTATAAAAGCTTGTAAAACAGACTCAGAAGGAAAAGTTGTAGAAGGTCAGTTGGTTTTATTTGAAAAAAACAATGATAACAGATTCAATTATGGTGTGCTGTCACTGATACAATAATGATGATGTGTTGTGATGATGTGGTTAATGATATTTTAACAGTAACTATTATAATACAAGAATTAAAAATTTTGATTTCACTGAAGTCCCCTTTCAGTCCCATTAGGCTTCATGTTTCACGTACCTGATATGAACTACACTTTTATTTTCAACTTGTAACTCATTGCTAAAATACCATAGGACACCATGATGTATACCGTATCTGTGCAGTTTCTGAGGAAGAAAGGGAAATCTGGATTGGTTGTATCAAGTGAGTTAAGCATAACTTGTTCATAGTTTTTATTAACCTTAGCACCCTTTTAACTAGAACTGTGAAGGAAAATTGAAAAAAAGTTGCAGACACAGGGGAGTTAGAGTTCACTGATTGGACATGACTGAGAATTGTACCTCACAGGAAACAACTTTAATTCCAGTCTGTTGGAAATGTGGGATAGTGAGGTTCTGCATTGTATATTGCAATTTTTCTTACTTTTCACTTCAGTCTTTCCAACTCAGAAAACTTGTTATCTATTTTTAAATCAAATCAACTCTACCCAAGGTATTGTTGATCAGTCTTTCTCAATTAAATTGTTTTCTTTAATAATTATGATATTTACGGGAGTATTTTTATTTTTCATTTTTTACTTTTGCCCATTATTACAAGTATATTCTACTGATGATCATTTACTTTTTCTCAGGGCTAGTATGATCATTGATCCATTTTATGATATGCTCCAAGCAAGGAAAAAGAAAGTCACCCAAGCAGCATTGAACTGAGGGTTCTTTTGAAAGATTTTTTTTTCGATAATCGTGTTGTTTTCTCAATTAATCCAGTGTGCTGCAAAATGTCTCTTGAAGTGTACACACAGCTCAGACATTTGACTTTTTAAAAGCAATATTTTAACTACCTGCCCAAGTTTATTGACCTTGACTTATCTATGCTTTTTAATAATGAACTTAACATCAGATTGTTTCCTTAATCCCTTGTGCTATACATTATCTGCAAATGTCTTCTGAATTGTACACGTGGTTCAGACATTTGACTTTTAAAAACCATTGTTTTAACTGCAAAAATTTCTTGACCTTGACTTATCTATGCTTTATAATAACGATCTAAGTTTATACTCTACATTTCACTTGTTACATTGTACAGTTCAAGGAAAGTTTTACAATTTATAACCTAACTTACATTTTGACGCTATTCAATTCATTCTATTGGCTTTGTTGATGTAACTTTTCTTAAGTTTTGTCTTTAAACTGTGGTAAAAAATTTATTTTAAACAGCAGTCTTAGCTGTGCACACTCTTTTTTTAATTGTATTTAATTTTTGTACTCAAAACTGTTTATTTTGGAATTTAAGCTTATAGCTTTTTGTATTGTTGTACATCAGAAACAAGTGTTTGTCATATTGTTTGGCAAAGGTTGTACATTTGTGAAGCTCTGGTGTGTGTGAATTTTAATGCAGTAGAAATCTACTGTAGCTTTTTTACCATTTACCATTGATACATGATTCAGTCAACAAATGCCTCACTGCCCGTTTTGTTATACAACTTGTTTATCATCTCAAAAAGGAAAACATGTCATTCATTCACACCTTTAATTGTGTGATATCTCTCCATGAAATTGTTGTCCCAAGAGCAGTCACTTAGGAACACACTGATACTCTTACTTTTGACTCATAAAAGCATTAGTAGGAATGTCTATTTACTATGCCATAGAAAAGGTGGCTGTGTAAAATTAGGTTACTAGTGTGATTGATTAACAAATGGGTACAACTGATAAATATATATAGAAAGTTTAATTTACATAGAGTGGTTCATTTAGTAGACATGCAAAATATGTGCAAATAGTATTTCCCCAAAGGGGAGAAAAGAAATAAGGTACAGTCCCACGAATGGAGTTTTATTGCAAGGAAAGCCTTCCTGTGAGAAACTGTTGATCCTGGATGAATAGGCCACTTCTGGGATGCCTTCAAGCCTCTGTTTCAAAATGAGGGTAGGTGCAAGATCTTTGATTTGAAAATGTGAATGAAACTCATTTTCATTTTAAGGCTCTTGTTGATGGGTTTATTAATTTCAACTTGCATGGGGAAAGTTACTTGGCACTTCTCAAACTCTTCTTTGATTGGCTTGGTCCTTTGTTCAATAAAAATATACTGACAACCAGAGTGGCCTACTCACAATACCTGGAATCAAGCTGTTCAAGTTTTTAGTGTCTTGAACTCCGTTCAGAAAGCCTGTTTCACAATTCTGTGCCTCACCCTTTTGCTTCAGTTCTCGTAGTCGGTTTTCCACTATAATGGCAAGCTTCTCTACTTTATTTGGGTCAGTGGTTGTTTTTCAGATATGTAAATAGGACTATTAGGGTACATTTCACATATTCCACATGCCACAGGAGATGATTCAAGTATATTACTAGGTTATGAAAATGTAAACTCAGGGTACCTTAAAGTTATTTTGTAACAATTTTTTTTGGTAAATGTAAAATGAAGAGTAACCCTTGAAGATGTTTTTGCTCAATCTTTCACATTTTATGCAGGCAGAAATAAAAACTGACAGCTAAAGTGTTTGTTTTTTTGGTCGTTTCTTATTTAACCACACTTGTCACGTGATAATTTTTGTAATTTAAATTAATGCCATTAATTGATGTTCCTTACTCAATTAGAAGTGTTACTTGTAAAACAATCCCAAATTTTTTTGTTGATGCCAATTGAGGTCGAAAGGAGTGCATGTGCTTTCCATTTTTTCAAGACAATAGTATTCTAACTTTTGTTCTAAGAAATCCCTCAAGAGTAAAAGAAAGGTACTACATTGCAGGACTACCTTAATCCTCCCTCTTTTTAGGAACCCAATAGATTTCTTTTCATTTAAAATGCTTTGGACATCTGGCATGTTGTTATGGTTTATTTGGAGGGAGAGTATCAGAAGAGAAGAGCGGACACAAAAACGACAACATCTTTACTGCAACTATGGTAATCCAGAAGTCTACATGATGAGATAACAATGATTTTAACTTTTGGGTTTTTTCTGAGCCTCTGAGAAATGAGGCTCAAATGAGCACGAGTTTATCAAACAATGCAAATTGTAACTTGCAATTGTTTAAAGTAACAGACGATCAAAAATACCAACAATGGGATATAGCATCATGATGTTCATTTTGAAATGTTTCCTGTAACAGCCAAACTTTGCAATTTTGGGGAAGGATAAACAATGCTGAGGGTCAACCAGGGAGATAAGGTTTAGAAGCACTTGCGGTGCACAATGGCTGGACCAGATTCATCATACTCCTGTTTGGAGATCCACATCTGTTGGAAAGTTGATAGGGAAGCCAAGATGGAGCCTCCAATCCAAACAGAGTACTTGCGCTCAGGAGGAGCAATGATCTTGATCTTCATGGTGGAGGGTGCCAAAGCTGTGATTTCCTTTTGCATCCGGTCAGCAATACCAGAGTACATGGTTGAACCACCAGAGAGGACAGTGTTAGCATAGAGATCCTTACGGATGTCGACATCACACTTCATGATTGAGTTGTAAGTGGTCTCATGGATGCCAGAAGCTTCCATGCCAAGGAAAGATGGTTGAAACATTGCTTCAGGGCACCTAAACCTCTCATTTCCTATGGTTATGACTTGACCATCAGGTAGCTCATAGCTCTTCTCAAGGCTAGAGCTGGAAGCAGCAGTTTGCAGCTCCTGGTCAAAGTCCAATGCCACATAGCATAGCTTTTCTTTTATATCACGGACAATTTCACGCTCTGCAGTGGTTGTGAAGGAGTACCCCCGTTCTGTTAAAATCTTCATGAGGTAATCTGTTAGATCCCTACCAGCTAAATCCAGACGGAGGATTGCATGGGGCAGGGCATAGCCCTCGTAAATGGGCACAGTGTGGCTGACACCATCACCACTGTCCAGAACGATACCGGTGGTGCGACCAGAGGCATACAAAGACAACACGGCCTGGATAGCTACATACATAGCTGGGCAGTTGAATGTTTCAAACATAATCTGAAAGAGCAAAATTCATGAGTTTAACGCCACCAAAACGGACTTGTCGGCTATATTCACACCTCCCCGTTTTTTTTTTTTTAAGAAAAAAGTGAAAATTAAGTTTCCCAAGCCTAAACAATGTGAAAAGCAATTTCCCCTCCGAGCATCTTGCTACTTTTCGTTACCACATTTGAAGTGCACACACAAAAATATGAATTAAATTTGAAATGTTCTTTAGTTATTCCATGTTAGGTGAAAAATAAAGTTGTAAACGATAACTTTTTTGTTTGACATACAGCCATTTCAATATTTCAACACCCGCTATAAGCCCAATTACTAATTTTCTTCTATATACCTGCGTCATTTTTTCTCTGTTTGCCTTCGGATTCAAAGGAGCCTCGGTAAGGAGAACAGGGTGTTCCTCAGGAGCAACTCGGAGCTCATTGTAAAATGTGTGATGCCAGATCTGGAAAGAAAATAACAGGCGAAGGAAATGCCTTGTGTTTGAACTTGCAGATATACAAGTGATGCGCGTCGATGTGTGGGCAAATTTTCTTAGTTTTTAAAACTTACCTTCTCCATATCGTCCCAGTTAGTGACGATACCATGTTCAATCGGATATTTCAGTGTCAAAATTCCTCGCTTGCTTTGTGCCTCATCGCCGACGTACGAGTCTTTCTGACCCATACCCACCATCACTCCTTGGTGACGAGGGCGGCCAACTATCGACGGAAAAACAGCTCTGGGAGCATCGTCCCCGGCAAAGCCGGCTTTGCACATACCAGAGCCATTGTCTACGACCAAAGCAGCAATATCATCATCGGCCATTGTAAGATTTTCTCTCACTGGCCAACTTAAGAATAGAAATTTTAACCTCTGCTTTTTTTGTATCACTTAACTAATTCTACGTAACAGAGCGCAATGGAAAGTATTAAGTGGGAGGGCTGAGTTAAGAGGTTAGTTTATTACCTTATATGGTAATTTTCTTGGCTTAATATGGTAATGAAATCATTCATAATTTTGATTGATATTCAACTGGTCAAAACAATTTTAATGGCTTCCATTTGGAGAGAAGACTGGTTCTAGTCAAACGAGTTTATTTGCTATTTGTTCCCAGACAACTTCATTTCACAAATAAGAGTTCACTGAATTTTTTTTTAAAGTGAGCACTTGACCAACCTGTTCGCTTTCCATAATTAGATGCTCCGAGAAGCGGCAATTTGTTAAGAACATTTTTTTTTGTTGATTTTGGGAAACATTAAAAGAAAAAATATCACTAAAACCTTTCTTTTCGAGTTCGCTCGCTTTTATAGTTCGAGACATTCGCGAATGCCACGGAGAGAGGTGGAGTGAGTGGTGGTCGTAACTGCTTGGGACCTCATTCCTTATCAGGCAAAAAAGATATAAAATAAAATAAAAACCCCTTGAAACGCTGCCCTTGTAGTAGTAAGATGCAGGAGCCCATTCTCCTGTAAGATTTAAGTACAGCCCTCTGTACGTTTTGCTTGGGTTGGCCTAAGCCAGATGAAGATGAAGATAAATTTTATCTGTTCTACGTTATTATATTAAGTGGTTTCAATTTATATCCTCTGATCTGAAAAATTTTTCGAGTATTGTGAAGGTTTAACCTCAAAGTATGCACTCATGTCAAACCTGTCCGTTCATTTTCTTCCGGCCACCCCTCCCCTTCCTAAATTTCTTTGAGGGGAGGGGGCAGATAGTCCTAGGTATGGGATGTGATTGGCGAAAAAACCTTGAAAAATGTTTACAAACATTTTTCAAACGCTACTCAGCGACACAAAAATATCCCATTCCAATTCCAAACATCTGTTTTGCTGGAAAATTTAGAAGTAGTTATGAAAACCTTTGAAATATGAAAAATAAGACTCTGGATAGACAAAAACCGGAAAAAGATAAGATCTAAAATAAATAGTAGGATATAGAAAACTGTCATATTTTTCGTTCTTTTTTACTATCATATAGAAAAGCTATGGTTATATGCTAGGAGATCGTTTTTAGTGTTCGATTTCATAACATTTGGAAATCGATCAAAGCTCAAAAACGAATTAGAGGTCAACGGGAAATCCAGTTGTTTTGTTAAGCTAACAACACGCGCGCTAGAAAATCTATTGGTTGTTTATGTTATGCTGAGAAAGCACCAACTGTGCTTTTGTATAGTTCACGCAGGAAATTCCCAACTAGTGACCAATTTGTCTGCATGTGATTACACGAAATCTCTAAAGGAACTCATCTCGATGAAATCACCATGGAAGCTACACAAGTATTCATACATATCGTTTTCAGATTTTGGAATAAATGGTTTGCCTCGCAGAACATAACCCGGTGTTCGGCAATCGGCGCTTTGTTGAAATATCTACCTAGTTGCTTAATCAGTTTCGAAACTTCAAAATTAAGTTCACCGGCGCTTGTTCTGGTCTTTTCTTTTTTTTTTTTTTTTTTCCCGAATTAAGCTTAAAAAAAAGAAAAATAGCATTAAATTACAAGATCTAAATTGACCCGTTTGATGATCATATACGGAAATTACTCGTTTCCGCTAAAGTTAATTTTTTCACCCTTTTCCAACTTGTGTCACAGTGTCTTAACCTTGTCATGTTTCGACCGATCCCCGGCAGACGAGCCTGGACCAGTTCCAAATGTTTACCAAATTTGGTCACAACATGCTCTTTTATTGCTGTGTGACACACATATATATCAGTAGTGTTACCATAACATTCGTTCGTCCTATTCCTCAGACAGCATTCAGTGTTCGTGTTTGATATCTCAGTGTCTCGATCAAACTTTCGAAATAAAATGGCTGATGAAGACGTTGCCGCTTTGGTATTCGATAATGGCTCTGGTATGTGCAAAGCTGGCTTTGCCGGGGACGATGCTACCAGAGCTGTTTTTCCTTCGATCGTTGGCCGTCCTCGCCACCAAGGAGTGATGGTTGGTATGGGCCAGAAAGACTCGTACGTCGGCGATGAGGCGCAAAGCAAGCGAGGAATTTTGACGCTGAAATATCCCATCGAACACGGAATCGTCACCAACTAGGACGACATGGAAAAGGTAAACAATAAAGTGCATTAACCAGGAAATTACTTTTAAAAGTCCTTCGCGATCTAGATTCTGAAATTACTGTGTATTTTTTACAGGTCTGGCATCATACGTTCTACAACGAACTACGAGTTGCTCCTGAAAAACACCCGGTTCTCCTCACAGAAGCTCCTGTGAACCCAAAAGCAAACAGGGAAAAAAGATGACCCAGGTTTGTTATGGAAACTTTGAAGCAACGGTTGAGTGAGTGCAATTATTTCTGTCCCGCCCCCAATTGGAGTCGAGCTCGAGCAGGACACTTCACCCCCTTTTGTCCTACGTTAGCCGCGTATAAAAGTATGAGACGAGTGCAATCGAATCAAACCCGAGTGAAAATACTTTCGTCAAATCGTCTTTGAATTAAAATTAAAATTTATTTCAATTTTTTGCGGGCTGAACCGGTCAGCAAAGGTTTATTTACGTAGAAGAGGAATTATCTCTCCAAATCCCACTGATAGGCATCTGTATCCCCTGCTACGTCCTTGATAGAAATCTATTTACTCAGAATAAAGACCATATGGGGTTTCCAAATTTCAGCCTTTTGATTGAATCTCCATAGGTTGTTTTGCAGATCATGTTTGAGACTTTCAACACCCCAGCTATGTATGTAGCTATCCAGGCTGTGTTGTCTTTGTATGCCTCTGGTCGTACCACTGGTATTGTTTTGGACAGTGGTGATGGTGTCAGCCACACAGTGCCATTTTATGAATGTTACGCCCTTCCCCATGCCATCCTTCGTCTTGACTTAGCAGGGAGAGATCTGACTGACTACCTCATGAAGATCCTGACAGAGAAAGGCTACTCTTTTACAACCACTGCTGAGCGTGAAATTGTGCGTGACATCAAAGAAAAGCTGTGCTATGTTGCCTTGGACTTTGAACAGGAGATGCAGACTGCTGCCTCAAGCTCCAGCCTTGAGAAAAGCTACGAGCTCCCTGATGGACAGGTGATCACTATTGGAATTGAGCGATTCCGCTGCCCAGAGGCATTTTTCCAACCTTCTTTCCTTGGTATGGAAAATGCTGGTATCCATGAGACCACCTACAACTGTATCACGGAGTGTGATGTCGACATCCGTAAGGATCTCTATGCCAACACTGTCCTCTCTGGCGCTTCAACCATGTACCCAGGTATTGCTGACCGAATGCAGAAATAAATTGCTGCTCTTGCCCTACCAACCATGAAGATCAAGATCGTTGCTCCACCCGAGCGCAAGTACTCTGTTTGGATTGGAGGCTCCATACTGGCTTCCCTATCAACTTTCCAACAGATGTGGATCTCCTAACAGGAACATGAAGAATCTGGTCCATCTATTGTGCACCGCAAGTGCTTCTAAATGTTATGGAGTATGTGAACAGTTATGTTTCAGTTGCCATATACCAGAGTGGTATTCTACTGCTACAGTGGGGAAAAATCCTCAAAATAATGAGTGTGAGAGTGTATAAAATTTTGTAAAGAGCTATAATATTATATTGATTATTTGAAATTGGACAGACTATGTGTAGTTGGTGGAGTTTTAGAAGGTTTGATAAAACTCTGTACAAATTGCAGATGTGTGTGCTGGTTAATTTCTCCTTGATGCCAAATTCTTTGAGGTCATTAGAAAATAAACATAACCTAACATTTATTCAGGAAGTTACAACGCAAATACAAAAAATACATCCTGAAAAGGGAAAATCGTGAGGTTAGCCCTGTATAAAAACAATTTCCCTAATTAAAAACATAGAAAAGATAAAAATTTAATGACTATACAGATTCAATAAATATTCTATAAATATTCAAATAAATTTTAAGTCTACTCTTAAAAACAGACAATGATTCGGCGTGTACAAGGTATCCTGGCAAGCTATTCCATTTCCCCACTATGCGAATGAAGAAAGAATATTTGTATCAATTACAAACCGCTCTTTTCAGGTAAAGTTTATAGTCGTGGTTAGCTCTTGTACGCTTATTGGCAAACACAAAGAAATCTGGGAAAGAGAGCTAGGCGATCAATACCGAAAACTATCTTATAACATTGAACCAGAGATAGAAATTCTCTCCGCTTTTTTAGTGTTTGCCATTTTAGTAAGCTACAACGGTGTTCGTAACTCGTTTCGCCACGTTTCTGCCTTAAAGCTGGTCGCGAAGCTCTTCTTTGAACCTCTTCTAGAGCTGTATTATCCTTAGTCAAATACGGACTCCAAACAGGAGCCGCATACTCCTGAGTATGGGGCTGACCAGTGACTTATAGAGCTGCGAAAACACGTACTGGCCTTTTAGTTCCGATGGACCACTTTATGATACCTAGTACCATATTTGCCTTATTTACCGTTGCAGATACATGCATGCCCCCTCAGGACAGGTCAGAAGAGAAGGTTACTCCGAGGTCCTTAGTGTTCTCTACCGACCTAAATTCCCCCCCCCTCCCCAGCGAGTAAATTGGTTTAGTTTTATCCTTTCTATGTGTAATACGCATGACCTCGCATTTATCTGGATTAAAGTTCATCTGCCATTTATTTCCCCATAGGCTCAATCGATCTAGGTCACTCTGCAGAGCGAGGATATCAACATTCTGGTGAACTGATTGTACGGTCAATAATTTATTTCAAAGAAACTTACAAGCTTGTCTTCTTGTTTTATTTATTTGATTAATTGTAGCTGTAGCTGTTAATGAACTTCTTGTCACTACCTTCTGATATCCAAAACGTAATTTGGGATATTGTACCTTGAACGACCTCAAATATCGACCACGTGAATCTCAGATCGTACACCAGTGCTGGCGGAGCTTCGGTCAGTTAGAAAGCTTGCTCCTAAACATCGCATTCCAGATGATTTGTGACGAGATTTGGGTGAACTTGGCATTAGGAAACGTTATCGTGGCAATCGTGCTGGGAAACTGAAAAACCATCGTGGTGTTCCTTGACCTGGTGAAACCTCAGGAATACCAAGTGTGGATGTCGCCCGTCCTACTTCGCTCGAATTTCTCCCTAACATCGTATACTCCAAGGTTCGATCTATTGTTCCTAAACTGGACGAGCTACAAGCTGTGATAAGCGTTAATCAACCCAATATCGCTTCGGTTACTGAAACGAGGCTAAGTTCGGAAACACCTGACTCAGCTATACAGCTTACGGATTTCTCCTGCTTTAGACGTGACCGGCCAACCCATCCATCCCTTGTCGTCGCCTGCATGCTTGTGAACTCCCTAGCATTGAGTCAGTGTGGTTAAGCTTAAGGCCTCGCCAGCTCCCTCATCTGGTATCAATTGTCCTCTTGGCCGTTGTTTACCATCCTACCAGTTGCGGAAGGAGGAAGACAACCGACTTTTGCTACAAGATCCGCAGTTTAATATCGATTCCTTCCCATGCCAACACCCAGAGGGTCTGGTTGTGATAACGGGCGATTTCAATCCTTCTAGCACTGGTCTCTTCGTCACCGATACCAAACTCCTGACTGGCCTCTCCCAGATAATTAGGGTCTTAACCAACCTCGTTCCAGGGCCTTTTCCCTTAGTTGGGGGTGGGACGGGGGTGGGGCCACCCCCAACAAAGGGAAAAGGCCCTGGGAACGAGGTTGGGTCTTGACCAGGGACCCTGGTATTTTGGGCTGGTGCTTGACAAATAAGCCCAGTCTATTTTGCCCTCCTAAGCAGTTACCTAAGCTTGGCTCTTGCGATCATTACGTGATTTCTATCACCCCTTGCACTGGTACTGCATTGGCTAAAAACATCACCTCTACTATATGGCGACGCGACCTGAGACAGAGCAGGATGCGCGAGTTTGGCAGCTGGATCACTCAGCAAAATTGGCAGTCTGTTTATGATGAGTCACTTGTCATTGAAAAATTCACTGTATCCACCAACATCCTGTCCGCAGCTGTAGATACATACCTACCCTTCCGTAAGATAAAAGTGTGCTCGTCTGATAGACCATGGATTACCACCAAAATCAAGTCTCTATATCCGCAATCGCCAGAAGGCTCTCCATACCGCAACGTTAAGGATTCTGAGGTTTACGGTTTACAAAGCCTGTAGGAATGCTGTTCTATCGCCAAGAAGACTTTTTACACCTGCAACGTAGCTGCCTTTAGATCTTCGAATGTTATGCGTTGGTGGAGCGAAATCAGTATTTTGAGTGGCAAAGGGGGAGTTCCTACCCCTGGCACCTACAAATGTTGGGCGAACAGATGTCAAATGAGGTTCTGCTTGCCGAGCGTTTCAATACATACATACATACATACTTTATTGCAACTCCATAAAAAGGGGTTTTTCAGTCACAAGGCTACTAAATAGCTAAAATAACTAAATGAATTACCAAATAACTAATATAATAAATCACGTTAAAAATAAGTGGAATACAATGGATCATATACTAATTACAAATTCAAAGATAGATCAGAGAAAAGTAGGTTAACACTTTTGTTCCGAAAAAGTCTGATAGATTCTGAAGATTTAACACTGTCTCTTAGATCATTCCAGAGCTTTGCACCGCGGTATAGGTAGGCGAAGGACCGCTGACCAGTGGCTAGGCGGCACCTTGCAATGTTCAGTTCAATCAGTTCCGTCGGCAACCTCACTCTAGACTTCTCTCCCCTGGACCCTACTAGTCCTGGCATGGATTATGATGTGCCTCCCGAGTTCTTAATTGACGAACGTACAGCATATCACGCCCTTAGGCGGGTTAAGGCTAATAAGTCACCCGGCCCTGACCCTACCCCCAACAGGGTATGGTCTGAATTCGCCTTCGAGCTGGCTCCGGTTGTCTGTGACATTTATAATTCCTCGATTATTCAAGGGTTTATCCCGTCTCAACTAAAGCAGTCAACTGTGTGCCCTGTTCCTAAATGCAGCCCTCCCAAGCTGGTTGAGGAGGATTTGCGCCCAATTGCCCTAACTTCACAGCTCGCCAAGATCTTCGAGGGATTTACCTACTCGTCCTTGCTCCAAGTTCAAGATCAGCTTGACGATAAGCAATTTGCGGTTGCTCGTAAATCTGCTACTCACGCACTGGTGTACTTCATGTTGAAAATAGATTTCGTTACTATAGATTTCGTTATCTATAGATTTCGTTACTCAGTGGCACGTGATTTGTACTGATGTCTAGTTATCCAATCGGAACACGATGACTTGATTGACATTTGACCCAGGATTTTTACTTCGCACATGTTGTGGTAGACTCGAAGAAAAATAACTCAAAGAAAGAAGGAAAGTGTAGCTGGAAATTTGTTGGAAACTAGGGCGGAAAGTCTTGAATTTGTACGGAGAGCATCAAGAATAAAGTCTTGTGCAAATCCATAGGAGTTATTCTTTCCTTTTTTACACTACATGCACGTCATCCTCGAATCACTCGACAGGGAGGGCATGTACGCCAGGATTCTGTCCACTGATTTTAGTAAGGGGTTCGATCTCGTCGACCACAGGGCCTTGCTGCATGAGTTGCAGGTGCTTGGTGTTCATGAAGCCATAGTCCGTTGGGTTGGCGCCTTTTTGGTTAGCCGGCTGCAACGTGTTAGGATTAATGGTCAACTGTCCTCGGCCATCTCGCCTCGTGGTAGCATCCCACAAGGTACACGCTTGGCTCCCCTTCTCTTCGCTTTACTTGTGAATAGGTTGGCCCGTAAATGGTGTACTCGTCTTAAGTACGTTGATGACCCTACAATCTTGGAACTTATTCCCAGGAACTCTAAGAGCTATCTGCCCATCATCGCATCTAATGAAAATAAGTGCTCCCTAGAGCGCAATATGAAACTAAACCCTAAGGAGTGTAAAGAGATAGTTGTTGACCTTCTCCAGTATAAATCAACATGTTCCAGTCCTCTACTAATAGGGGGCGCCCTAATCGAAAGGGTATCCCAGTACAAACTGCTGGGGGTCATAATTTCTGATGACTTTTGATGGAACGCACACTGTGAGTATATATACGATAAAGCTACCAAACGCCTCTACGGGTAGAGGATTCTTAAGAAAAGTGGACTTTCACCTTCCCAATCAGTATCTATATATTGCAGTACGATTCGCTCTGTGCTGGAATATGCGTCCCCTGTATGGGCGGCACTTCCAACCTACTTAAGTGACTTTTTAGAACAAGTCCAGAGGAAAGCTCTTGATATTGTCTTCCATGATCATTGTTATAGGAGGGGGGCTTTGGGATTTTCGGTTTTGCGGTTTTGACTGTCTTTTTGGATCGGTTTTTCGGTTTTGATGTTCAGAGCGGTTTGCGGATTTTACATGTTTTTGCATTCGGTTTTTGGTTTTCATGAAAATTCTGATTCGGCTTTCGGTTTTCACGAAAACTCTGATGCAGTTTTCGGTTTTTCCTTTTTGACCCCTTTAAAGGTGAAAATGTAGCGGTTTTGTCAGGTTTGCATGCGGTTTTCGGTTTTGCTGCCTTTTTTCGTCGGTTTTTCAGTTTTGGAGGTTTTTTTCTCCAGCTTTTTTTTTTCCGGTTTTGCAGTTTCCCAGAGGCCCCAATGCCCCCCTCTTATAGCGACGCACTACATCTTGCTGACATTGAACTTCTTAGCGATAGGCGGCAACAAGCTTGCGTGAATTTTGCCAAGTCCTGTCACGTGTCAGGAACATTTAGTAGCCTCTTTCGGGTTCCGCTGGTTTATTACCACGGTTATCATTTACGCTCAGGCTC